ACTATTCAGACCTGCCCCATGTGCCCCTACAATTCCTGATGCCCTACCTGCTTCAACAGGGGCCTTAGGGTACATCCCATTCAGGACAGGTGCCTCCCATGCCCCAGGTACGAGGCAGAGCAAGATTGCCTCCAGGTAAGGGCCACTGGAGGTGATGGGAAGCCTCAAGTTGATTTCACTATTCATTGGTCCCTCAAAATAAACAGAAAGTGATGGCTGTGGTAGATACTGGAGCCAAATGTACTCTACTACCTGGTAACCCTCTTAATGCTATAGGCAGCTATAGAGTGTGGACAGTTATGGGCAGAAAGGTGCCTTTAACACTACAAACTGGGCATTCTCCCCTGTTAGACTATGAAGCTTTTATTTCTCTGATACCAGAGAACATATTGGGTACTGCTATCCTACCAGGTTAAACCCTACAAATTCTGTAAGTGAATCCCTCCTTTAGGTTAGAGAAATCAAACCATTGTTGAAGGGAAATGCCAACTGGGAACAAGTAATCTATCGCCCCTGTAACTGTCAAACAATTTAAATCGCCTCAGGGGTTGGGCAGAAGCATAAGAAAATAAGAAACTATCTAAGAACTGCACTGAATGGGTATTGTATGCCCTGCCCACAATGTCTTCAACAACCCAGTATGGCTGGTGAAAAAAAGCCAGATGGTTCAGTGTGGATGATGGTGGACTACTGAGAAGTAAACAAGGTAATGCCCTCCCCCTCAATCCATTCCACCGTACCCACCCTTGCTACCACCTAGGATACCTTGGACATGGTCCTACAAGTGTTCCATGCTGTGCAGACTTAGCAAATTCTCTTTCCAGTACATCCCTGGCTGCTGAGTCACAAGATTAATTTGTTCTTCTGTGGGAGGGGCAACAATGGACCTTTCAAGTTCTTCCCCCAGGCTATATACGTGACAATATGTCATCTGATGGTACCAGACCTGTCCTTATTCTTCTCCACCACAGTAAAATGGGCCCATTACATTAATAATAGAACGTTAACATCTGAAGACTTGCCTCTTCTATAGGGTACTTTGCATATTTTGCTGGAACATCTGTGAGGGACAAGATAGGTAGTGAGCCGACAGAAAATTCAAGGCACAGGCACCACCATAAAGTTTTGGGGAATCATTTTGTCAGGTAAGGTGTGAATTGTCCTAGAAGCTATGATAAGATGCAAACCGATGCAACTCTTAAGAACATAAAAGAGATACAAACCTTTGTAGGGTTTTTGAGAACTTGCAGGACTTTTGTTCTCTATGTGGCATGGTGCTTCTGTCCCCTATATCACCTGGTAAGTAAAGGGAACATATGGAACTAGGGATCAGAACAGCAAGCTGCTTTTGCTAAGACAAAACATACTAGAGAAGTGGATTAAAGCTCTGTCCAGGGCTATCATTTGAATTAGATGCATCCACGACTCTGGAAGGTTTGGGTTGGGCATTGCGGCAGAGACAACAGAAGGAGAAAGTACCCCTAGGATTTTTTTTTTTAAGATTTTATTTATTTATTCATGAGAGACAGAGAAAGAGGCAGAGACACAGGCAGAGGGGGAAGCAGGCTCCACGCAGGGAGCCCGATGCGGGCCTCCATCCCCTGATGGGGATCATGCCCTGGGCTGAAAGCAGATCCTCAACCTCTGAGCCACCCAGGCATCCAATCAATCCAGTGGTTCAGTATGTGAGCAGCTGCCCCTGTAGTATTGCCATGGTGGGTATCACCACTCCAGGGAGAGGATTGAAAATCCCTAAAGCAGTACATTAAGGAAAAACAAACTAAGACTGGTATTCTTAATTTGTCTGATCTTAACAATACTGATCCAAAAACCCTTGCCTGTGGCACACACTATCAATAATATTGGGCATCAGGGGATCCCTGGGTGGCGCAGCAGTTTGGCACCTGCCTTTGGCCCAGGGCGGGATCCTGGAGACCCGGGATCGAATCCCACATCGGGCTCCCAGTGCATGGAGCCTGCTTCTCCTTCTGCCTGTGTCTCTGCCTCTCTCTCTCTCTCTGTGACTATCATAAATAAATAAAAATTTTTTTAAAAAAAATATTGGGCATCAGTATTCTTTTTTGGTTAACCAAACTGTGCAGGTAGCCCATCAAACTGCTGACCAAAAGGATACAGGAAATACCATCATCAGAGCCATGGGTGACTGTGTTTGGGTTGGGATGGGCTTATGTGGCTCACCCTGGGTTCTGGATGTTTGAGCACCAAGAAGCTCTTATGCTGGGAACAGAAAAATCATGCTAAACAGAACAACCCAAATATATCAGGGATACAGGAGAGATAACCCAGGAACTATATAGTCATTCTGTCAAATCAAAGGATGGCGTCTGGTTTGGCACTGACTGGCATGGCCTCTCAGGTATTTATTGGGTAACCCCAAATGGGACCCAGTGGTTTTGAGGCACAAATCTTTGGCCACGGCTTCCTCCTGAGTGGTTGGGTCCCTGCGCTCTGGGTTTTCCCTGGACACAGGGGAATCCACCCCACATTAACAAAAACTGCCAACCCTTCTCTCAAGGCACATTTTGTTTTCCATTGGAGCAATCACTTAGCCACTGGCTTTGTCCCCACCATGGGCCTGCAGGACATCGTAGCAAACATAGAAGCCCTTACTAAATTTGCCCAGCAAGCCTTAAATGATGGTCAGTGAAACCTGTCTTTATCAAACTCTGAAATGCATCCAGTGAGAAAAGCTGTTCTCCCAAATGGGATGACCTGGAGCATCATCATTGCTTCACAAGGAGGCACGTGTGCCCTTCTCCAAACAAAACGTTGTGTGTTCATACCTGATGAGTCTGCTCATGTATCATGTTTATTAAATCACATAAAAATATCAGAGAACACTGAATGATCTGAACCCCAGCCTAGGGACTTAAGTCAATGATTTAAAGCATGGGGTTCTCCGAAAAAAAAAAAATGTTACTTATCTTAAAAGTCATTATCTTAATCTATGTTTTCTATGCTGTTAGACTGGCGCTGCGGTACCTGCCTCCTGTGCAGCCAGACAGCCACCAGACTAGCATCTCCCACCTAATAAAACGTCTTGCTGACTCCTCAGTACACCTTATAAAAGAAAAGGGCATAAGATATTCTAAGAGTCAGTCAGGAGAAAAAGAATGTCAGAGGAGGTCATCAAGAGGACTTGACTGTGGGTTGACCCATGAACCACACCTGGGCAGTCGGAGGCTCCTTGTCCCCTCCTCTGTCCTTGAAAGGTACATTCTGCCCACGGTTCCCACAGTCGGTGCCTCTTCAAGGGCTATGAGAGAGCAATGCATCGTTGAGACTCTCTGGAGGGAATATGTGATGAACCCAGGTAAAGCCTCTATATAAACTTTTGAGATTCTGGTGTGGAGATCTACTTGTCTCTTGGTGGCCCAGGACCAGCGTTGTATGTAAGTTCCCTGGCTTATTAAACCTGTCACCTGCCAGTCTGGAGTGGCTGCCTCTGTGGTCTCTCCTTGGCCTCCATGTTCATGAGCCACTTTCAGAATTTTCTGGGAAGCCCCCAAGCTTGCAAACCAACGCTTTCATTCTGGCAAATAGATGGTTTTCCCTTGTGTGTTCCATTTTATCAAAAGTAGCCTGGTAAGCCTGAGTAAGCCTGAGTCTCAGAGAACTTAAGTGGCTTGGCCAAGGTTCCATAAATAGCAGTGTCAGAATTGAGGCCTGAATACTGATTTTCTCTCTTTTAATATCATGTTCTTTCCATTTCTTCCTTAGTGATAGGAGAATATGGAGTATAAACCTTCAGGCCTCTCTAAACACTTAAGAAGGTGCATCCCAGAATGACATTTGATAGTGAGATCTTGGGTCAATCTGCAATATAATTTTGAAAAGGAGAGTCTTGGAGAAATTAGATTAACTTGCAAGGGACATGCCATCCCTCATTTTTTTTTTAAGATTGTCTTTATGTGTGCCAAACATTCCACACCACTGAGAGCTATTACACAGATTTCTAGTCTAATTGGTTTGTATGACAAGAGATTGTGATTTAACTTTCTCATCTATTTGGAAGGGAAGCTTTCTCTTCAGTGACTATCCTGCAAATCTCACAAAACCAGCCAAGCCTAGAAATCCAGGAACTTATTTCTTGAACTCCATGGTTCAATAAAGATGCATACCCTATTGTTATTGTTGAGAGCCGCCCCCTCCCCCCACCACAAGAAAAAATACGTCTTGGACTGGTTGAAGTCTGACACAGATGAGCACATAGCAGCTTGCCAAAAATGACACCCTTTTCATCCTTTATTTTATTTTTCTTCTTAAATCAGGCCACATGAAGAATCATTCAGCTAGAGCCAAAGCTCATCAGCAGATTTCAGAACTGCCTAGGAAACTGCCACACCAGTGTGAAAGCCACCACCAGAGCGAGTGTCACAGCATGTGCTACATAAGCACCTTCCTTTCCTCCAGGTGGCATCAGGGCTGTGTTCTCTAAAGCTCATTAGCAACCTGTGCAAGACCTCATATTTAGTAACCAGAGCACCTCCTTGTTGGTCCATCCAGGAGTGAGACAGAAGTATCAGCTCTGTGAAATGCAAGTGGCTTCTTGGCTTCCCAAGTAAATAAGCAGAGCCTCCTGATGGTATGTGCACATGCCCACACCGACAGAGGAGAGTAGAGACGTAGGTTTTAAGTTCTTGCTAGAAGGCAGAAAAAGAGGAAGTTCTTAGTGCTTTACCCGCCTGCTCCTCCCCCTGCTACATTTTTAACTACACATTTTCCCCCATTAAATCAGAATTGATGAAACCTATATCACTATAGTAATGTCTGAAAATTGAAAAGCACATTGAAAAATAATAATACCATTGACTATACAAGGCAATTTCTTCAAATCGAGTAATGATGTGATGTGTGTGGTTAACCGTATCTACGCAGGAAGTGGTTTTATTTTAAAGTTCTTGTACTCACCCCACCCCTTGTCTTTCTTTTCCCCCCCTCCGGTACTGAAATTAAGCAGCATCCAACATAGGCCTACTCTTACGACATGTGACTTGACTTTACTGTTTTCCGTTTTTGTTGAGAGTCATTAACAGTTGGAAGTTGATGGCAGATTCAATAACAAGCGATTGCTGAGAAAAGGTAAGTAAATTTTAACTTTATATTGAACAGGAAACTTAAACTTCAAAATGTTTGGTGGTATCCTATGCCTTTGTGTGAACACACAATCATTTCTCCAAAAATGTGTTTTTACGTGTGATTAAGACATCTGTTTGTTTCGTTTGGTGTAGAAAGATTATTCTTTTCCTATTTGCAACTGTCAAGTTCAAAAGTCCTTTACCAGATATTATACACGAAGATCATTCACTAGGGTTTTATACTAAAATGTTAAAGACAGACTAAAGTATATAAGCTTTAGTTTGAAAGTGCTTTTAAAAATAACTGCTAGAGAAAATTTGGGACTTTGCATCTTTAACTGATCATTTTACAACAATTTATACTATTCAGGATCCAGATAATAAAAGAGAAAAAGGTGCTTTGTAACAGTAAGAGATAACATCTGAATTGCAATGTGAAATATATCCACCATAAAGTGTGTTATATTAAGTTAGCATAACAAACCCTTGGAAAGGTGTAGTTTATTAAATGTGTAGTTGATTCAAGAGCTATTAAAAAGCAGGAAAGTTTTAAAATGTGAAAGAAAGCTCTCTGTTATGACATTTGAGAATTTTTTTTTCCTAAATTGTATTTAAGGTATAGGGTGAAAGGAGGGCAAGTTTCTATTTCATCAGTAAAACTCTCTGTTAAAAAATGAAGTCACAGCAGACTTTATTGAAAGTTACTTTTGGGAGAAGGGGCAAATTAGAGATATAATTTTGCTATTTATATGATTATATAATTTTTCCTTCTTTGAGATTTTCCAAAATAATAACCTCAGAAATGAAAAGGATTTGTTGACCATAATTGATGAGAACTTCTCTTTTGTATTGACTTCTGGCTTTTACAAAATGTCTTTGTGTTCTGTAACATATGTCCAAAAAATATAAAGTACTGCTAATTTCAGAGAGAAATACCTAAAATAAATCCGAGTGTAGATTTTTGAAAGAATTTTAATAAGAGCTCCAGATATGATACACTCTTCTCTAATATTATTTTTATTGTGCTGTTGAATGGGGGAAGAGATGGCCCCACAACACCTATTTTTTTGTGTGTGTTATTAAAAAAATGCTTACAGGGTTGATAAATGGCAACAATTCTTTTCATATTATCTTTTATTGAAAGACACATATAAATGTTTTTTGATATGGTCAATTTAGTAGGAAATTATTTGGCATATTAGTACACTCTATTTTAAGACCTCCTCAATTGTCAATACTGAGGCTAGCTACTTGTTGACTATTAAAAGGATCACACACACACACACACACAAAAAGAGATTGGGACGTGGTGTGCAGTACGTGTTTTATTGTTAGAGTGTAAGAGACCCTGGTAATATGCATTTGCTTTGATATTCTGATTAGCTTTTCGACTGGTTACATTTCCCCACAATGGAAAGCATTATTTAAATCTGTATTCAATATTGTGGTTCTGAACCTCTGTATCTACAGAAGCTGTATAATTCAGATAGTTTTGGTTGATATGTTATTACTTTATTCATTTTATTACAAAAGAACATCACATGAATAAACATATGTAGTACTTACATATTAGCAAGAGTGACTATCCCCATAAGCATTTGGCACTGAAGAAACATCCAAGGCAGTTTTTTAAGCCATTTCATATTTTTAAAAGCCGAATTCCTTGTTAAATGATTGTTTCTTGTAGGAACTGTCAAATTAAAATACAAATGCCTTATGACGTATGTGTAAAACTAAGAATGGATTACATAGCTTAGTATGGATTTATAAAGAGCAACAATTAGAGATGTTAGACATATAAACTAAGATATTCTCAGAATTGTTTGTGAAAACAAGTAATGCATTATCTCTTGAATACGCAGACCAAATTTTAAAGAGTCAATTACAAATGAGGTACTAGAGGTTACTATCCCTTTATATATTTTAAGAGAATAAATAAGAAACACATTTTGGTGAAATGAAACAATGCAGAGAATCTCATTTGGAAAGTAATTTCGAAACTGATTTATTAAAAGTATATCATGCTTTTCCACTTGGGGCCAGCATTCAACAAAACTCAGAAAGGAGACTTTTTTCCTTTGATATTCCTCCTCTCATTCTTTTTGAATGCTTTGTTTTGGAGTAGTCTGCCCTGTCCCTAACTTAGGGTCTCGCAGCCTTGGTACCTAGAAGGACAGACCCAACTTGTCTCCTTTCTTCTCACTTCCATGGTCCTTAAAATTTACTCATTCTATTTTCCAGCATTTAGAGGACCTGCTAAAAATAATCTATGCTCACAGAAGGAGTCTACAGAGGTCTGTTTCTTCTTACCTCTTAGCCAGGCCTTTCCTCCTTGGTGTAATTTTAATAAAGTCTCTCAGCAGACAGGATCCAAAGGAATAGCTACATGTTGAGGACTCCAGTCAAGTGAAGAAAATGATACCATGGCAAATAGTTGGGGTGGGGGTGGGGGACAGATGGGGGCAAGAAGAGTGTTTTGTTAACCATTGGTCCTGTTATGGTATTTAAACACAGAGTGTCTTATACAAAAGGTCCATAGAGATACGTGCCTTTCTCTAAGATATCACACTATGTCTTAACACCATTCTGATATTCCCATACACTGAGAAAATATTTAACATAATCAACTGTTCAATATATATGTATTTTTCAAAATAATTTAATATTCTGAATTTAAATCTTTGGGTACCAGGAGCATATGTTTTTGCACTGCACAATAAATGTTATACAGCTAGACTTTCAAATATACTTATAAGTATTTTAAAGTTCGGCTTAGATTTGGCAAAATGCCTAAGTTTTCAAATGATAGAAAATGAGTTAAAATTAGCTTAGGCAATGGAGATAGGCTTTAGTTTGTAGAACTGAAAAATCCAAGGAAAACCAAGTCAGGGTGAAATCCAGGAGTTCACACAGGGTTGTTAAGATTGGGTTGTATTTTCTTCAGTCTTTAGCTTGCTTCCCCCACACACACACCCCTCACCCCGGCCACCATGCTATAAGCCCCCTCTGACAGAAACTCACAGAGTTGATAAGAAAGCTTTAGGTTTACACTTGACCCCTTCAGACTCTGTTGCAGAGGGTTGACTTTCTCCTATCACCACAGTAAAGGTCTCAGATTGAGATCTGATTGGACTGAATTTTGTTGGATGACCATGGTAGAGGTAACCATGGACTCTAAGACACAAACCCTATGAGTGACCTGACTAGGTCCTTCTCTTGCACCAAGGAGCCGCCACCTGGACCTGCAACACATGTATTCTTAGCTGAATGCAGGTGTCTCCACATAGAAACTAAAATGCTTTCCCCCGAAGAAATGAGATTTTATTTCTTATAGGTAAAACCCACAGAGCTCTGCTTCACAGCCACGTTTAAAAACATTGCTTATTCAAATTCTCCAAACTTGATAATCAGACAGAAATAATTTAAAGGTAGGACTGAATGAAGCAAGTGTTTCAATTAAACTGAATTTTAAAGTATTTTTTAAGAACCACCTTGTATATGAACACTTGTCTCGATATTTTTCTTCTATAATTTTATAATCTAGTATGATTGTTATGTAAATAATTATAATACAGGGTGCCTGGGTGACTCACTTGGTTGAGTGTCTGCCTTTGGCTCAGGTCTCTCTCTCAAATAAATAAATAAAATCTTAAAAAAATAATTATAACACAAGTGAAATTTGTTCAGTAAGGTGAAAAAAAAGTAAAGAATGTTCTATGAGGATTCAGAAATTCATGAAACATTTTGTATTCTTGTTATGTGCCAGTTAATAAACTAGAGAATTTCCAGGTGTTCTTTTTAAATTTTTATTTATTTATGACAATCACACAGATAGAGAGAGAGAGGCAGAGACACAGGCAGAGGGAGAAGCAGGCTCCATGCACCGGGAGCCTGACGTGGGATTCGATCCCGGGTCTCCAGGATCGCGCCCTGGGCCAAAGGCAGGCACTAAACCGCTGCACCACCCAGGGATCCCTCCAGGTGTTATATCATTTGATGATATCCTATCAGAGAAATTAGGACAGTTTGGGAGGAAAGATTTGTCGTAGTTTTCAGAGAGAGCTAGGGTTTGGAAATTGAGAAACATCCCAGGGAACAGGAAGGGGATATGTCCAGGCACAAAATGTCAGAGAATTTCCAAGGAAGGGTGGGCTATTTAGTTTTGTTGCCTACAAGTATAGCAGTAGGGGCTAAGGTCAGTAAGGCCAGTTGAGATCTATTAATACAGTGGACCTGCTGAGCACATTGTGACGCAGGGTTGTTCCTGTTAAGCAGAGGGAATACATGATTGGATGTCCACGTTTTCCCTCTGGGTGGGCTATCCAGCCTCGGGATTTATTGGCTTCTGCTAGACCTCCCTGTTGGTGGCTTGCTCTTCAGGGTAGTTTCCAGAAATGGCTGCAGTCAATGAAGGCAGACATCCTTGTCACATAGGGTGCCAGCCCCCCTCCTCAGAAGCATTGAGGTCCTTAGACAGGCGGGGCTATAAGGAATTTTTTTTCAGTATACAAAAATATTTTTGTTTTTTTATTATTTGTTTTCAACTTAAGAATAGGTGATGCAGCAAGATGGTTGAAAATCAAAACCTACATAGAAAAATTTTAGAAAAAAATATCTTTCTGGCATTTCCATTTCTATATACCTCTATTCACCTCTATCTTAACCCAATAGGCTACCACTTTTCATAGTTATTTTTTAATCTTTCACAGTTGCATATATGCATATATATAATGTATGTGCATGTACCCTCTTTTATTATATTAAAGGTAGCATATTATACACACTTCTCCGCTTTGCTTTTTTTTTCTTTTAGTAATATCTTAGAGATACTTCCATAGCAAAATAAGAAACTGTTCAATTCTCTCTCTCTCTCTCTCTCTCTCTCTCTCTCAGTTTCCACTGTGTGGGTGTATCATAATTTATTGAAAGAATCATGGGTGTCTTCAGTTTTTGCTCATTCAATAATTGTGTTAATGAAATTGTGTGTGTTCTAAAATATATCTA